AACGTCCCCCGAAAACCTGTCTCGATACAACAACAGGCCACCGAACAGGCTCCTCGACAGCAGCCAACGGACCCGCGCTCCGCGGGTCCGCTTACAAATGCCCATACGATCCCAACAGCCGACGCCATCTGAGCAATTCGTATCACGCACCTCCACCACCGCTGCGGATCAAAAACCCCCCAGCACCTCCCAAACCACAAAACCTGCGTACCGGCAACCGTACCGAAAACGTTGTTAAGGAACACAATCCCCCCGTAGAAATGGCCAAGAAAACAAGCCAAAATGACGATTGGGAAGCGAATTTCAGTAAACGATACCCAAGCTTATCTGGGCTAGAGCTGGTGGAGACAGAGATAGACATAGCTACCCCTCGCGTCCACGCTATGAGGACGAAGGAGGTGTAAAGGAAGGAAAAGGTGTACGGAATGGAATTTCCTTTCTTTTCATTTTCATTTTCACTTCATTTTCCTTTCTTTTTATTTTTAATTGAGCTGTATTCCTCGTTTTATTTCTTCCCTAAAGAACTCCATCTATCCTCTTTCCATATTCTATATTCTCGTGTCATCGCAGCTCTAGTAGTTAAGATACCAATGAAGAATCCAGTCAAGAACGCCCAACTCTTTTACTCACCCCACCTTATTGTTACGTTTACAGTAGTGTTTTTTGATTGTTGTGATTTACGATAAGAGGAACGAAGGCCAGCCATAGATAGCACGTCTAAACTGCCCCATGTGTTAATATCTGGCGCCTTCCCCATCCTCATCTCCATATCTACTTCCCATTCTAAAGTTTCTATATATGACGGAGGTGGAATGTTGGTGTATTGTAACTATCCAGCGGGCGCAGTTCACTCTCTAGGCGTATAGGCCTCTGGTGAACGTTGTATACTTTTGGTCTCATTGTCTCATTGTCTGATTTTCTCACTTTTTATCATACTACCTTTCTTCCTATAAACTTTCCTATAAACTTATTCTATGGTTTGCTTCTCCAGCCACCCGCTTTGCGTTTCGATTATACAGTACATACATATGCTGTACATTATACTAATCATTTACGTCAGGTATCGATTTGCGCCGAAGGATACTTCTAGCAGTGTTGCCAGTGGTTTTGTGCCAAAGGCCCTGATATGATATTACAAGATCTTCCTGACTTAACTTTATTTTGGTGGAGTGGGATATTTGCCCCACAGATGCCTTTTGTACTTACATACCATAACTACATCTATTCTCCTTTTATACTCCTACTAGTTACCATCGTTGCTTTCTCAGTATTCAACATACCCCCAATACTTTACTTCTTCAATCAATAGAAATCTAATGATGTTTGTATGTGGAGATATAATAGATTAAGGATGAGTGATATTAAAATCTCTTCTCTAAGATGGTACATAAGGATATAGATAAGAGAATGGAAGTCTCTGCCTGCCCGCCTGCATGATCTCAGCTGTATCTCAAATACTAGCATTGCAACCTGCCTATTTACTTACAGATCAGATTGCAAGTGAATCAAGATTAAAGGCTGAAGATTATTAGCCACCAGCCTGTGAGGTAAATCGATAGAAGCAATATACAACTCTTATATATATGTACGGAGTAGGTTAGTTGTGGATGTACGGGAACTTACCAAGGTTATAATTTAAAGTTTCTGCTGATCGTTTTAGGTCCAGAAACAACACTAGCCGTATTTATAAGTATTAGTACTCGTGATTTACTCTTGCCTTCATCAAAGCTTCAACACTGCAACCGTCGAGTTGACCTCCACCTCTCCTTCGTATTATTTGCATTCTACGCATCAACGAATGACTGCGTGAAGTTATAATCTACCCCAAGAACTGGCGCTGAGGCAATTTACAGGCCAGGTCATTTCCAACATATATACTTCCTTAGCTACCCTGCCGACGTGGAAGCTAGTACAAGTAACCAACTGGGCGTCCCTTGCGTATGGCGCCAGTAACCTTGAGCGTGATTGACAGTATGTACTGGCCGTAGATGCGATATCTTTCCGTCCGCCATTTGTCTGCCTTTGACGAAATAAGTGCTGTGCCTTTTCGCTTGAATATGTCGCTAAGTGCCTTTTATTGGGGTTTAGATGATCTGAAAGATGTGATACAACATCTATTCGAAATCCAATCCGCGGTCCATGGATATCTGGGGTCAGAAACACAACAAGAACTTGTGCGAAAAATGTGAGCTATTTTGCACCCCTTTGGTACCTGTGGTTTGCGTATCCCATATAAACACGTCTGCCTCTTGGGAATTACAAGCAGTGTCATCATGGTTGAGCCACCATGGTTACGCGCCATGCCTGTTGGTTCATAAAACAAAGCAACAATCAAACCCACGGGAAGAGAGAAAGACAAGGGAAAAGACGCCTTACACACTCTGCATCATCGTTCCACTTTTGAAAACCCGCGATATATTAACTCGAGCGACAATTCTAGAAAATCCTTGACTCTCTCCCTATCAACCCTCTCAGAGCATTCCCGCCCGGACCCCTCGGCTTCCCCATCCCAAACATCCCTACGCATAAATGATCCTGACCCGCCCCTGCAATCCGTTCAACTTCCCCCAGAAATCATAGACTATGTCGACGCAGCACGCAATCCGGACATTTACACGCGAGAATTCGTCGAACTTGTACAACGTGGCAACCAGGATTTGAAAGGAAAGGTGCAGGCCTTTGCTAGTTTCCGGGACATTCTCGCGAGGGAGATGGCGAGCGCGATGCCCGAGTGTAAAGGGGAGGTTGAGAGGGTGCTGAGAGTTACTGGCGGAAGTGCCAGCAGTTAAAAAAACCAGTTTAGAGCTACAAGTAGATGATAGCTTGTATGAAAGTAGCTAGAATGTATTTGATGACATCGACCTTGTGAGGCGAGAATTACCATATTCTAGTACTCAGCTAGTATTACCTTTCTTACATACTATATAAGCCAGCACACACCTTCACAAGACATATAGTATACTAGTCAATCAATCTTCAATAGCGGATCTTAGAAATTGTAACAGTAGGCCCCAAGTCGTGGGTGTGTGTTTAAGCTTAGGCCCCCTCACTGAACAAAGCCTTGGCGGCTAGTTAATTACTGCCGCCTCCATCCGCCTTGTAACCCTCTCTTCCGTTATCGCGACGGGGAACATCCACCCACGCCTTGACGGAGCCGGCTTCCCAGGTCATATCTGTCTCATCATGGCCAGCTCCAGGGCTCAGTGGTTCAATCCCATTGCCTTCACGCCCTGGCCAGTAACATGTATCACAACAATCGTGTATCTCGCATTACTTATTCCAATCCTCGTCATAAACCTTGTCGTTCCTTCCGCTCCAGAAACGAATCCCAAGGGCGTGAATCTTACAGAAGCTTGGAGAGATCTTCAGCACTTAACTGGAGGTTTTCATCCTTATAATAGCCGGCGGAATGACGAAGTTCACGAATGGCTTCTAAGCAGAATCAATTCCATCATTCGCCCTACGGTTGAGGCCGGACAACCTTCTTCCGCTAATGACAACTTGCCGGAAGTTTTCGTTTTTGACGATAATCGGTCTAACTTAACATATTCTAACGGCGGAGTTGGTAAGACCTCAATTGTGGGGGTATATTTTGAAAGCACGAATATAATAGTTTATATACGCGGGAGCGAAGATGGCTTGGAGAACTGGTGGGAGCACTCGAATGGGAAACCAAAGGGGAAAGGAGGTGTTCTCGTGAACGCTCATTACGACAGTGTTTCAACCGGATATGGCGCCACTGATGATGGAATAGGCGTTGTGAGTTTGCTGCAGCTCCTCAGATACTTCACGACTCCTGGAAACAACCCCCGTAAAGGTCTCGTTTTGCTCTTCAATAACGGGGAAGAAGATTACTTGAACGGAGCCCACGTATTTAGCCAGCATCCACTTTCAAACTTTACGCATACGTTCTTGAACCTTGAGGGTGCAGGGGCTGGCGGCCGAGCTGCTCTTTTTCGAACCACAGACACAGAGGTTACACGATTTTACGGGAACACTAAGCACTCGTTTGGTTCTGTGCTTGCTGCTGATGGCTTTAAATTGGGCCTGCTTCGTAGTCAGACTGACTATGTCGTGTTTAATGGCATCCTAGGACTTCGAGGACTTGATTTGGCCTTCATAGCCCCCAGAAGCCGATACCACACAGGCCCAAGATGACACACGACACACAAATATTGATTCCTTGTGGCACATGCTTTCTGCTTCCATAGGAACCACTGAGGGTCTCGTTTCATACACAGGAATGGATTTCGATGGCAAATCAAAGGACCAAAACAAGGTGAACAGCGGTACTGGCACCCTTGGTGTTTGGTTTGATATGTTTGGAACTGCCTTTGCTGTTTTTCGCCTCCATACTCTGTTTGCAATTTCAGTAGCTCTTCTGGTCATTGCCCCGTTGGTAATCTTCGTAACAAGTGTCATCTTATCTAAAACAGACCGGATGTACTTGTTTTCGATGTCTAAGTCTTTGGAAGGAACCGGCGACCAGGTCTCCTTACGTGGTCTTCGTGGCTTTTCTCGCACCCCTATCATCTTGGTCATTGCCACTACTATTCCCATATGTTTAGCGTATTTGCTTGAGAAAGTCAATCCATATATCGTGCATTCCAGCCAATTTTCAGTGTGGAGCATGATGTTCTCTGCGTGGATATTCCTGGCTTGGTTTCTAGCATGTGCTGCCGACTTTTTCAGACCTTCAGCTCTTCACAGGGCATATAGTTACACATGGATATTCATCGCAACGTGGATCATGCTTGTCATTAACACGGTTTACGCAAACCAAAAGGGAATTGCTGCTGGGTATTTTCTATTATTTTACTTTGCTGGCGCGTTTCTCGCGACTTGGATTTCTTACCTGGAACTCTTCGCTCTTCCGCGAAAAGGGGATTTTGCCCGCCAGGCCACAGGACGGCGCCCAAGCAGCCTCAGCAGCAGGTTACTAACTTCTTCCGCGGACGAGCTACGATCTAATGCTAGTCCCAGTACTGCTGAATTTCCCGGAGCTGCAGGGGAAGATACCGACCCCACAGAATCTACCTCCCTGCTTCGTGGCCAACGAACCACGTTTGCAAATTATCGAAGTAGTCGCCCTGGTGGTGCAGCAGAGACAGATGAGCGAGAAGATATCAACAAAGGAGGCACTTTCGAGCATGAACAGTCGTGGAGCTGGACGTTGCCCAGGTGGACATGGGTGTTACAGCTCTTGCTTCTAGCTCCTATCGTCCTCATTCTTGTCGGCCAGCTTGCTCTTTTTTTGACCGCCTCCATGTGCCAGGTTGGTTCGGACGGAGTCTCTACCTTCGTCGTCTACCTGGCATGTTCTGTTTTTACAACTCTTCTATGCATACCTTTATTCCCCCTGATCCATCGATTCACATACCACATCCCAACATTCTTGTTCCTCGTATTTATTGGTACTCTAATTTATAATTTGGTGGCCTTTCCCTTCTCGCCTGCCAACCGTTTAAAGACGTTCTTCATCCAGGAAGTTGACCTGGACAACGGTTCGAATACGGTATCGCTCACTGGCATTCAACCATATCTTACGGATGCAATCAACTCTATACCAAGTGCAGCAGGCCAAAATATAACCTGCGACAAAACAACCCCTTTTGGTAAATTGGAAAGATGTTCCTGGAGCGGGCTCTCTCCAAACGTTCTCGGCCAAGGCCGTGAAAGGGACAATGAAATCGACCCTGACAAATGGATAACCTACAACATAACGAAAACAGTAGGCAAAAACAAAGCACGCATCGAAATTTCCGGCCGGAACACACGAGCCTGCAAGCTCAAATTTGACAGGGCAGTCGCGAATTTCCAGGTTTCAGGTTCTGCAGTAGACCACCGTATGCCCCCCACTTCCCGCCAGGGAGTTTCGGAAATCAGACTCTGGAGTCGAACGTGGGAAAATACTTGGGTCGTCGATATAAACTGGCATGAGAGCGCTGACAAGTCGGACGACGACGACGACGACCATGACGATGAGAACCACGACGCTCCCCAAAACATATTGAGTGGAAAGGCCATCTGTATGTGGAGTGACGGTAACCAGCCGGGTGTGATACCAGCACTGGATGAAGTGCGGCTATATGCACCTAGCTGGATTGCTATTTCTAAAGCAGCGGATGGCCTTGTCGAGGCCAGCCATAGCTTCACCATCCAATGATACCATCGCTTTTTGCTGAGAAGAACATTTTTCTTTCTATCTCTTTTTTTTTTTTTTTTTTTTTTTTTTTTTTTTTTTTTCATCCCATTTGGTTGTCATTTCGGGTCTGGTGTTTGATATATGAACTGTTGGCTTCCATTTTCGATCATGCCACTCTTGTTTACATAGCTCCCCAGTTCTAGTTAATCAGTTTCTCATCAGTTTAGTATTCCTTTCTTTTTGTGTATTATTCGGCCAAGGAATGAAGGACTGACTCCAAGGAATTCCATATACTTTCCATTTACCCACATCAACTGGATTTTACTTGATGCCAAGCCAACCACCGAGCGGACGCGAAATGCTTATTTCAACCTCCCTGCTCTAAAGAGATTTCCTTTGCCGGAGAAGAGTGCTAACTACGAGTAAGATCCCACAATAACGAACCAAGTTTTGTGATGCTTGGGACCTTAACAGCTACTTTGATCAATGTATTAAAAATATTTGCGGAGGCCTCATATTTGGGCAAAATGCGACAAGGATATTCCCCGAAGACACTGAATCAATTCCTTTTATGACTTGTTATATATCAATGAAAGCTGCGTTAGTACGTGCTTGCCTTTTGGGTAGTCGAAGACATGAATGAAGCCTGCGGTCTTTAGCCGGATTTCTCATTTATGTCAGTCTTGAGGTATCCGGAGATGACGGTTCTGTACTGGCTAGGCCCGATTGAAGCTGTCCCATCATCTCCTTTATTCGTTGATCGCGGTTGAGATATCTTCAAGATGTCCTGTTCAAATTCTTCATTGCAGCAATAGAGCATGGAAATACATGTGTTTCCTTCACTCCTCTTTTTGAGTTATTCAGTGAATTAATACGGAAGGATTAATTCTAAAAACTCGTCACCAAGATGGCACATTGCCACAGCCGGAAAAATTCCTATTTCTCTCAGGATTTCATAAGAACAAGTATGTGTTCATGCATGAAGCCAATTTCGCGAAGAATTTATATGGAGAAGAATCCCAATCTTCTTTATCACATTCACTCTAATGTTGTAATCTGTCATATCAACCCAGTTTAGCGCCAAGAACAAGAATGAGGTTTAACACAACTTTTTCCTTTACACTCCTCGTCACCTCAGCTTGCTTCACTTCCTGAGGCGGCCACCTTTTTCCTTTTGGCTTCTTTCATCTCTCCTGTGCATGTCATTTGTATCTCTCGAAGTCTGTTATGGCCCTTTTGACAGGCCCCCTTGAATTAAACGTGAGAATGGGGACTCTTCATCCAAGGCCTCGTTATCTGACTGGCCATCTCCCCTCTCCGCGCATGCTTAATAGCGAGATTTCGAAGTACCGTAGTCCGCAGATCGACCTCAAAGAAGCTGTTTACTCCCTAGCTGCGGCGGTCCTATATGCCCGACACTCACAGTACGTTGAATCCCTCGAGGAGCACACTGACGTCCTTCGGCGCGGTTCCTCCCTTCTCTCCCGCGCACCTGTGTGGTTCAACATCGGCTCCCTCTGGGCCTCAGTGGGCGATCTCCGTCGAGCCTTGGACGCATACGAGCTTAGTATCAACGAGGATCGTGAATTCACAATATCATGGTTTAGTAAGGGGGTCTGTCATTTCCTACTGAGAGAGTATTGCGAATCTATGATTACTTTCAGGAAGTGTTCGTCAACCTTTAAGATGTTTTCCCAGGTTACATTATTCGATGACTATAGTCTGGATTTTGTTCTTGTGAAGGATGATGTCGTGTGGAATGCCAACGTTGCCAAACGCCGCTATAAAATGCAAAGTGCATTGTGTGGAGTGGACGATCTCGAATCAAAGCTACGGCGTGGCCATCTTAACCTGTTTCTTGGACCGCATAAGGATTGCTTTAAATTGGACGAGATGTTCTTAAAGAAGGGCGGATCTAGATTGAAGGGGGCTCTGTCATTGATCCCACGTCCACTAACTATTCGAAAGCGTTCTTGCCACATGCACCGGAAGTTTGCTTATGTTGGTTTTTCAGACATGCAAAAAGGTGAAACCAAGGTCGTTCTTAAAATCCCAGTCTCCAGAGGACAATCGACAGCAAATTCTAAACCCCAAGGGCCACAGGGTAAAGCTAACACTACTGGGATATCACGCTTTCCGTCTGTTATCCCGCGCAAACGAATTCCCTCCTCACCAACTCTATCTTCCAGCAGAGGGCAAAGTTCCTGTGAACGGGCCGTGCTCGTAAATACGTTCCCTCTCCCACCACCAACTCTAAGGAGAAGAGGGCATGGAGCTGGCCCTCACTTTGTGGCTGGGCAAGATAGGGTATGTAGAAAAGGTGGATGGCAAACCCCGTCGCAAGATATACAACAAGGGCAGGCATATACACCGGCTAAGGAGTCGTTTTCATCACGATTAACTCCATTTTCTAGATCAGAAAGGGGTACTTTCTCACAGACCCGACTTTCAGGGGTAGATCAGGTGCCCTCCTCCGTATTTCCCGCACCTCCTCAGCCATGTCCAAGCTTGATGCAGCGGGGGCTACAGCGGATTTCAAACCCGTCCGTGGAGAATGCCTGTAATGAGAATAATCATGATGTTAATAAGAATACCACAGCTACCCAACTGCGCACCCCTAACCCCAGCTCCGAGCAGCAGCATTACCAAGGCCATTTCTCCAGCTCGTTCACGACCAATGCCGCTGATATAGATTATGACAGCAACACTACGGAACAAAACAACCATGGAAATGAGACCATGCTCTGTGTCTTAGGTTTTGACAGGACACCTGAAGAGCTAAACAGGAGCGATACACACTCACACATTACCACTCCTTCCGTTGAAACATCCTTGTCCCATGAAACCTTCTATTCGGTTCCTGAAGGGTCAAGTAATAGGATAAGCGAAACGGCGCCATCGACGCCATCATCAACCTCATGTTCCATCTCCGCTGCTAGCGTTTTCCAAAACAATTCCCCAAACCCGCACCTTCGTCCACGGATCTTTGGCAGTATTTTGAATTTCCTATCAATTACTGAAACGGGGGACATAGCGCGCAGTCGTCGTCGCTATGTTGGTGTTGGTTCTTCCGTAGCCGGGACGAATGAATAGTCACCCAGAAATGGCAATGGGGTCTAGCAATCACAATTCGAAGCGAAGGGTGAAAACCCAAAACCAGGACTTCCTTGAGCACGTAGAGGATAAATAATGATAGTTGTGATGGCTGAATGTGCGCTGTATGCGTGCCTGTATTACTGACGTGATCGTTTTCATTCTCTCTCTTTTTTTTTCATCCTCCTTTCAACCTTTTCTTGCCTGCAACGACAATATACAGAGAAGACTATCTATCGGTGACGATTTTCAGCGAGCCAGCAACTACCACACGCCAGCATGTCGTCTATTAACTTCACTTCGTTCTTTCTTTCCCATGCTCTCTTTTCGAATGATGAAAGAATAAATAGGTCGCGAGGGGAATAAGATGAAGCGCATAATGATCTATTGGGTTTCATTCAACCGAAGTCAAAAGTGGCTATCACCATGCTTTCTAAACTGGGAAGCATAGAGAACGAAGAAATACAGAACCGCAAGTGATACAGCCATATTGATCAGTCATGCTTTCATCTTCTCTGCTTTCTCATCTTCTAAAATAGGTTGTTTACATTCAAATCGTAACTTAATTTTACGGAACAGCTTTATTCGTAATTACGTCCTCCATCTCTCCAAGAAAAGATATCGTAAGAAGAAAAATAAATAACCCGAGGCGGAAAATAGTTGGGAAAAGAAAATACAAAAGCAAAAGGAAGGCAGAACTATCTCGTCTAGCAAACTGAGAAGCAGGAAAGGGAAAATTGGAATGAAAACTAGAAGGCAAAAGGAGACAAAAGAGATAATAAGCGTCATAATAAAACAAAAGCCTGTAGACGCTTGTTCTACACTATTGACTTCAAGCAAGGGCCGCTGATTCTTTCTCGTTGTAATCTCAACAAAATCCTCATAGCAGGAGCTACATGGCGAGAACCAGTCTGTATGATCAACAAAACCTAGAAGGCAGTAACAGGAAGAACGAAAAGCGAAGCAACATATAATCATAGCCATGTAGTAATAATAGAGATAAATGAAGAGGGAAATAGATAATTCAAAAACAAGGGGCAGAGCTTCATTGATGACCCTTCTTTCTTTATCGTTTGAAATTTGGAGGTTGATGAATGGGGAATGAATTGCAGCATGAAACGTGTGTAACGGTCTGAAGAAATACCATTTTTTGAGATAGAAGGGATGCTCCAGCCATCGCTTTAAATCTCCCTTTTCGTGCACAAAGGGGCATGTTGTTCTTATGGGCAATTCTATGCACCATGTTAAAAAATAGTCTCGTTAGATTGTGTCTCATCGTTTGCGGGTTTCAGCTCTATATGTCGATATATTCTGTGCGCAATACGCTGGCATCCATCTCTCAACCGGGCTCGCCATCTTTAACTGATGACTAGGGTTAAACAACTGCGGGGTGGCAGTGGCATTATGTTCATTTATGAACCAGTAGCGACATTTGCAATATCGAGCTGGTGTTTATTAAGGTGATGGCCTTAATATACTGGGTGTCGAATGGCAGAATGACGGTGGGAAAGAGATATGACTAGAGTCGTTGATTCTCATCCGAGAGGGGCAGCCGGGGTTCCTCCATCCATTATCTCACTGTCATCTTCATCATTAATGACGGCGGCATGCATAAGGCCCGTCATTTGACCCTCCGCTTCGTCTAACTCATCAGAATTGTCATACATCGTTCCATCTTCGGTCTCTAGGCGATAAGGATCCATTGTAAGATTAAGGAAATCACGCAAAGCGCTGACTCCTTCGCCGCAGGGCACACAAAAAACATCGCGTTGCTGCTGGGTGAATCAGGGGGAGCTTCGCGGCCAAAACGCTATCTATCTTCTCGAAGGAATGCTTGGATGGCCAGTAAGACTCAGATGAGTGAGCCGTGGGCAAACTGTTAAGCAACGAAATGAATTCCCTAAATAGAAGATTCGATTAACATTTATCCTCAGTCCATTGCAGGAAAGGATAAACGGAGAGAACAAAACCAGATAAGGCAAAAACCATCAACATACTTCCATTGTCAAGTGGACGCAGTAGCTAAGATGTACTCGTTCCAGACAGCTAGTCCCTGAAGAATGCTGAGACACTTTAGACTTTGCTAGGGCCAGTATACTGCGATCCGTAATTGCCTGACACTTGACAAGACCTATCCGTCTCAGTTTCGGAAGAGTAGCCAATTGCTGGACACTGTTGTCTGTCAATCTGTTGCAGCATGCCAAATCAATATATCGGATACGGTTGCATGATTTGATCAGCTGAATTACCGCAGTATCAGTAATGTTGGAGCAGTGGCCTAGATGGATGTAATGGATGTTCTTCCCTAGTTTGCAAATAGAATACACTGAATGATCAGTGATGAATCTACATTTTGCTAAAACTAAGTTTCTCAACCTCGGTGCGGAGTTAATGATTTTTTGCACAGCTGCATCCCCAATGTTTTCGCATGCAGTCAGATCCAAGATCCGAAGGCTGTCGAATACTAGCTCATCGGGAAGGTCGACAAAAGCGTTGTTGTCAATCTCGGTACAATGGGCCAATCTTAATTCTCGAAGGTTCCGAAGGGTAGATAGAAGGGCGGTGACGGACGAACTGGTTATTAACCTGCACCCCTGAAGGTCTATTTCCAATATGGATGGGCAGTTCGCAGCAAATGATTGTATTGACCGATCAGTGGCTTGAGCAACCCCGTTTAATTTCAGCTATTTGCCGTTAGCAAAGTACCAGGAAGTTCATCTCGTATGGAGAGAAAATATACCCTCTTAATTTGACGACAATTCTCTGCAATGGAGATAAGTGATTCATCTGTCACCTTGATGCAGCCGGAAATGTTCAATCCCTGAAGTCTCAGGCAGTTCCTTGCGACTACAAACAAAGTATGGTCCGTCAGAGACTTGAGATCGGAGACATCTAAAGCCTGGAGATGTTTATTCCCATCCACAAGATCCGACACTCCGTTGTCCGTAAGCATGGAGCAATTAGTCAGAGTCAGGCGCTCAATTCGTTTGCAACGCGAGAAGGGAACCACTGATCCGTCGGAGATCTTTTTATTCAGGGCGGACAGGTTTAGTCGTTTCACGAGGTCGTGGTAATGAAAATAGCTGTTTGGTTCAGTAAACGCCCTTACCACTCTTTCCAGGTTATCCCAAGTGTTACAAGAGGGTCTATGCCACAGTATTCCCACACAATTGATTGCCCAGGTCCGAGACACCTGCATGCATCTCAGCATATCCGAGGGAGAATTGAGTTTTGTGAATATGGAAATTAGGAGCTCGGGAGGTAGGCGGGAGATAGGTGGGAGAACAGCGTCGGGGTTAATATTGACATTGAGATCTCGAAAGATGCCCATTCCCACTGAGGACTCCGAGTCATTCGCCAGATGCATGAAAAAATCAGTATCATCTTCCGCCGCACGCTCCGGAGAAGTGGAATTCGAAGATTCCGACGGGGCATCATCATCCCCCCGTAGTGGGGCCCTTGAACGTAGCATTGTCGACAGATTCAATATCCTGTTTGTGAAGGAATCGTCCTTAACAAAACCACCAGATATCGTTCCCCCTCAGACTGTGTATCAAGCCACTGAACCTCTCCAGTGTGTAACTGAGATCCTAATACCCAGCGTTGGACTTCTGGGTGGGGAAGTATGTAAGCGTTGCGGGGTGGCAGAGGAACCTAGTAGTATGCCGGGAGGTTGAAGCCGCAGATCTGTGAACAGCTCAAGAAATAACCTTTGGGGCTATTATGAGAGGATTCGGCGGGATGGAGAGCAGGCAGGAACTCCTCAGGTTTGTGTTGCAAGTCAACCGCATACGCAAGAGCAGGTTGATGGTTGTACGAAACAACACCGCGGAGCAGAGTTACAGGCGAACTTAAGGCGGGACGTGAAGCAAGGGAAAGGTGAAGGAAACAGCGAGTGGCCCGGTTGCAGGAGGCCAGGAACAAAGGTGACAACGTATCTCCGTCAACGATAAGTGAGTGACAGCGGAATGGATTCCCAGCTGATGAAGGGATCAGGCGGTTGCGGCAACCCCCAAGTGAACGACGGCAGGATGATAGAAGAGGAGTCAATAAGGCTGGGTGCTAAAGAAATAAGCGCTGGCGTGGGCCAATGGCGGCAGAAGCCCTGAGCTGCGCGGCAATGGCCGCAAATATGTTGCTTGTACTCCGTAACAAGATCCCAAAGGGAAGAATCATCGATAAACTATATTCGCAGGCAATAACGGTGCAGAGAGCATGAAAACACGAGGGGCTGAGGCTGGAGGATGCAGTTTGGCTTAACCTTGGGCCCACTGGAGCCTTCGTCTGGTGCGCATTTCTGAGGAAATTCGCACGTTGCACGTTGTGGCCTCACACGATCAACAGAAGCAAGCGACAGACTAGACCAGCGCTCTAGAGGTCATTTGGAAAAATAATTTCAACCAAAATGCAAAAGCCTTTTGTGTGTATATGATGTTGGTAACTCTGTCCTAGCTTGCACTTGGATTGTATGGGAATATTACACCAACGAGGGGCTTCTTCTGGTACGAGTCTATAAAAAGATTTTAGGATTCAGGATACACTAATTCAAATATTGCACATGAAATTCATTAATCTTCTTGTTCAACACCTTGCTGCTGAAAATTCATATAATCCTACAACAAGGCCGCTTATACAGCAAAATGGTATCAAGATTTCTATTCAAGACTCCGATCCGTGCTTTTCGCCCACCGCCTTAGCACATTCTTCTTCACCTTCCCAGTGCTAGTTTTGGGAAGTTCGCGCACAGTTTCGACTTCCCTGGGGACCATAAACCGGCTGATGCCGCTCACATGTTTTGCCCACTCAATAACGTCCTTGCCATCAAGTTTCTTGTCATCTCGCACTGTGATGAAAGCTTTCGGCCGCTCGCCCCAATGAGAATCAGGCACAGCCACCACTCCGACTTCAAATATGTCCGGATGTGTTGCAAGCATGGACTCTAATGCAACAGAGGATATGTTTTCTCCGCCTAGACAAACGCGCCAGAAGAATCCTTAGCATTTCACGGGAGATCGAAGATGTCGAAAAGGGAAATGCAAGAAGTACTCGAGCATACTTACCGCTAATGATAATGTCTTTAGCACGGTCCAAAATCTGTATCGCTCCGTCTGGGTGCCATACAGCAAGATCCCCCGAATGGAGCACTCCTCCGCTAAACAACTTCTTCGTGTCCTCAACATTCTTATAGTAGCCCTTGGCACAAATGTTCCCAACAAATACAACCTCGCCTATTTCCTCCCCATTCTTCTCGACATCGATAATCGTCCCTTCTGGGACGTCAGTCTTTATCACACGTACAGGAAGACTTGTTAAGAAGCCATGACCCTGCCGAGCCATCTTCTTATATTTATCCTCTGCCGGGATGGTATCCCACTGAGGCAAGTAATAGCCCTTTGTTATTGGCCCGTATGTCTCAGTAAGCCCGTAGACGTGGACCGGTTGCAGGTTCAGTTTTGCCATCCGTTCAAAGAGGTGTGGTGTTGGGGGGCTTGCCGCAACCGTAACTCGGACGGGAGATGGAAGTACCTCTGCCTCTTTTGAGTTACAGAGAACAGTGTTGACGGTCGGTGCGGCACAATAGTGCGTGATTCCCTCTTCCTTGAGTAGTCTCCATATGAGCGAATAGTCGACCTTGCGCAGGCAGTAATGTGTGCCTCTGACTGCCGTGACAGCCCATGGGAACGTCCATCCTAAGAAAAATATCTCGGTTAACTTGATGGGGCAAAAGAAAAGAGGGAGAGAAATGGAAGAATGGAAGAAAGGAAATAAGAAAAAAAAAAAGGAGACGCAAATCGATAAATTCCCCAAGGGCCAGGGTATAAACTAACCCATAGCGTGGAACATTGGCAACGTCCAAAGGTACCGGCATCGGCCCTGATTGAAGTTTAGTCCGGACTCTATTACATTTGCGAGAGCTGCAAGATAGCAGCCGCGGTGGATGTACTCAACACCCTTGGGTCGTGAAGTGGTGCCGCTCGTGTACGCGAGCGCAATGAGCGCATCTTCGTCTGGCGTCTGAGCTTCCAATCCCTGCCACCCACGGTTTCCGGATGAAGTATCAAAATGAAGGCCTTCCAATACAGCTTGATCGAACGGCCCGCTAAGTTCCCCTTCTACAGCATCCGTATCTGTGTCGATAATCAGAGGCACATGCCCATTTTGTTTCTTGAACTCGTTGAGAAGCGGGACAAGTTCTTCGTCCACAACGATGGCATCGACTTCGGAGTGGTTGAAGATATACGCAATGTCTTCTGGTTTTAACCTATAATTGACAGCTTGATCTTGAATTTTAGTATGGAGTGGCCACAGAATGGGAAGCAAGGAAGAAGGAAGGTATCATCGTACCAACATTGACCGCGCCAGCTGCGGCTATCGCAAAAATCGACTCCAAAAAGGCTGGGGTGTTAGGGCATAATATGCCAACTCTCTTGAAGCCATGTCTTTTCAGGTAGTAAGCAAAACCCCGCGCGCGATCCGCTGTCTCGATGTATGATCTCCTCAAGACCTTGTTGTTTATGGTGACGTGATAAATAGCTTGGGCCTGTCCGTAATAGAATGCTTCCAATTAGCGAAATGCAACGAGAACAGCTGGGGTTATTTTACAAAGAACATACATCCGGTTCAATAGCAGCTGCGCGCGGGAGGAAGAATGTAGGAGAAAGCGTATGTCGATTAAACGGGTGGGAGAAATCCCCTTTGGGGTCTGTGGGCCATGAGGATGTGGGGAGAAAGTGCTGGGTGAGATTTCGCAAACGGCTAGTTGCCCTGGACATGTTGAAGAAACGCGAAGAAATCGCTGAACGATGCACAATCACAAATGGTGATACTTTCTGAGCACGAGAAAAGAGAACATCAGGGGCAGAGAGGAGATTGAGCCCGTTTTAACATCGCAGTTGCTCCCTCTTCGGCGCCGAAAAGCTTTCTCCGAGTTTGCACCGAAACCCAAGCGCCGTAGCCCCTCACAAAACTTAAATAGACGCCATTGTTGCCCACTCCTATAGATCATTCGTTTCGCAAAGCACAAATCACAATGCGGGTGATTATGACTTCTAGTAAAATCTGAGCCACACTCGCAACATGCCTAGAATTTTATTGAACAAGAAACCATTCAGATTAAGCGCCATGGAAGATTTTGTAGAGACAGGCAGTTATGAAGTAATATGAACAAGGCATCATCCCAATAGCTCCCAGCTTAAAATAATCAATATTTTTTGACTTATTTTTCCCTGCTCCCCTCTCAATCACTTTGCCCTTGATTCATTAAAGGTGTATTTCGTGATATTATAGGTACAGGCCGATTGGTTTGCCGTTCACATTGCACCCAGCTCTACCCTCGAAGAACCTAAAGCCAGCCATTACCCGGACCCAGAAATCTAATAGCCATACTCCGCCAACTGGGTCTTTGTCTTTTGGTCCACATTGGCAGTCTTCTGGGCTTGTACAAGTTGTCTCCGCGCGGCCTTCTTGCGCTCGTAGTATGCGGATCCCTTGACCTTTCTCCTCTCCTCGAGTCTAAAAATAAAATGATAGTTAGCAGTAGCTCAATCGTGGTCCCAAGTTTACAATAATGAGCTTTGGAATGCATGAGGAGGATTTGTTGTTGAGGCTAACCTTGCAACAACATCCTGGTACTTCCAGCCAACCTCATGACTCAACCGTCCAACAGTGCAGTATTTGCGGCCCGGTTTCAGTCTGAGGACTCGGAGGGCCTGGGGAACGACAACCCGCTTCTTTTTGTCATACGGTGGTGGGACACCCTCAAAGACCTTCAGTCTCTCCATGGCAGCGGCGCCACGAGCGCTCTTGTGAGGAATCATACCCCGGACAGCCTTGTAGAAAATGCGGGAAGGAGCACGGAAATGGAAAGGACCTGCACTTCCGTATTAGTGGATGTGGTCGTCTGCAACCTAAGGGAAATTTTGTGGTCTTATTATTCTCACCTCCTCGAGTCAGAGTTGAAAACGGGTGATCTTGCGGAGGTAGGCATGGTACTTCACTATAAGCGACAAAATCGAGTCAGCCACGGAATCCATCTTGAAATACTTCAACAACCGAAATTATTCCTCTTTTCCCCAAATCTTCGAATGTCAATTTTCATCAAAGTTGCAAAAGGAAGAGGGATATATCGTACGCTTAGCGCGGAAGAATTCGCCAGAGATGTTGAGGGCTTCACATCGCACTACAACAATCTTCTGGCCATTGAGCAACTGCTTGGCCACAATGCTGGCCAGGCGACCAAGGAGGTGTCCCTTGCCGTCGATGACGACCTATATCCACGACAAGAATCCAGTCAGTTTTTCGAAGCCCTTATCGAAAATATGCGAATCCCAACCCGACAGAGAGGTAAAACACACCACTGGCTCGAAGGTGGACATCGTGCTTTGTCACCAGTTCACAGTCAAGTATCCAGCAAGGCGATGAGCTATGCTCGATGATACACCTTGGATAGTGTATTGTCGAGTTGAGTGTCGTGTCGTTTGTTCGTTGTGGTCTCCTTCAAACCGCGCAAGTCGGAAGGATCGATGGCAGAAATGGCTTAAGCGAGACTAGTTTGTGTGGACAAACCAGGCCCAGCCCTAAGTTGCCCAATAGAACTCAAACTCTCACGTGACATGGAACTATTTTCAAGGCTTCCTCCTCCGCATCCCATTGTATACCTTGATCGAGATTCGATATCGAGAATCAGAGACTCACCCCATTAATTTATGGGGATTCCGTATCTCACCATCTGTGTCTGCAGCACACAGTGACATCTAGAAAAATTTCTGCTACCCTTGTATGGAACTTGCAATAGATCTCTAGCCTCGAATGTATTTTTTTGCTGTCAAAGCTCTCCGACGCAGTTTTTATCCAGTTAAACTTACAGACCATAGTTGCTCCCATATCTCAGATCAACGTGTCTTACTCGATTGACCCAGCGGTTGCGATCACACCGGCATAGCAGGATTGTGGCTTCCAACCTTGTTGACAAGCATCTCTAGCATTGGCTTTCAATATGTTCGATCTGCTGAGAATTGCGATTATAATCTCCAGGACTCTCTTATCAACGACGTAACTACATCGCGAGTCTCCAGAAAGTGTGTCTGTTAATTCTCGTCCTATTTGGAAATACCGACGTGGAGACTACTGTATCTTCTAGCTCCCGTTCTTCCGGCTTTGGAGTTGTCGAGAACTTCGTATATTCAAGTTTTGATTGACGAACGATGGTTCGTACCCGGATTGTCTGTATTTCAGATACACATGGCTATGGACCGCCAGATGGTGCTTTCAAACTGCCGAAAGGCGACGTCTTGGTCCATGCTGGGGACCTTTCGAATCAAGGAACTCTAAATGAACTACGAAAAACAGCTGAATGGATTGAGCGCGCGGATTTCGAAGTGAAAATCGTGATTGCGGGTTAGATTATTACCCTTTCTCATTCAACTAACCCACTTCTAGGGGCACGCTAATATAATTTCGAACATGTCTGAAGGTAACCACGACATCACCCTCGACGGTAATTTTTACAATCGACACTGGCAGTTGTTTCACAACCAGAGACGGGAGTCGGCAGATGATTGTCAGGCTCTATTCACCAAATCTTCCATCATTTACTTAAACCATGAAGCCGCCGTTATCCGACTATCTAATCCAGGTGGCCCTCAATCAGTATTCAAAATATTTGGATCTCCGTACACCCCTTACTGCGGGAAATGGGCGTTTAGTTACACTTCCGAAAAAGCTTGTGGCATCTGGGATAAGATACCGCTAGATACCGATATCGTTTTGACTCACACCCCGCCGCGGTCCCACTGCGATGAGAATAGACACGGCTCGCTCGGTTGCGAACATCTACGTCAAGCGCTGTGGAGGGTGCGACCACGATTAGCTATCTGTGGACATGTCCATGAAGGACGAGGGTACGACAGGGTTCTGTGGGATATCGCACTCCAGAGTGGTGAAAAATTCAGAGAGCTGAGTTCGGTTAGCGGAGAACTACCTCCACTCAACAGCAAAAAGCAATGCCTGATCGATCTCACGGGGAAAACACAGCCTCGTCTTCGAAATGATGGTCCTTCGGGTTCGTCATTTCCGACGCTGCGGGCAAATGATGAATCGCAAGTGGCAAAAGGTGCCGGGACTATACCGGGGAGGAACGAGACGTGTATTGTCAACGCCGCGATTATGGCAACGAGCTGGCCGCACAGGGGTGGTAAGAAATTCAATAGCCCCCTGGTCATAGACCTAGACCTGCCAGTAGCTGGATAGAATTGAGGCCTAGGGCTGGAAAAATGGTCAATTTGGCACCAAAAAGCCGCAATGACGAGGGGGTACACCACCTACAGTGCTGTACGTACGAGTTCGGAGGCAGGTTAAGATCTTAATTAAAGTAAACCTTTCCCGTAAATGGCTTATAATTTAAAATTTCCCCTTCCCCACAATTTGGAGAATGTCGCGCGTGTAAAAAATGCGGGAGAAAGACTCATAGGGATATCAACAAATATCCAGCGCAGGAGACGAAGGTTACCAAATTCCGACACTATGGCGGAGTGGTTAACGCGGTGCCCTGCTATGTGGCGTTCAGTCGCTGCAAGTTCAGGCATTTCCTTCGGGAGCGCAGGTTCGAATCCTGCTGGTGTCGTTCCTTTTTTGCCTTTTTTCTTTTTTTTTTTAATTTATTAACGATGACCCCCCTTCTGCGCCCCGCTTCTTTTACCATATTTGACCCGCCGCTGATTCATTTTCCCTGCCAAAAAGAAAGAAAGAAAAAATTGAAAAATTAAAGGGGGTCAGAAATCTCGTTTCTACGTGAGATCTGAGCATTGATTTCTTGAGCCGTGAGAGCAACAGCAGTTGTTGCTCACTATCTAAAATGCGTACCTACACGTACTAGATACTAGTATAATATAATAACACACACCAGCTAAAGATAACTACCCATTAGCACTCGTCTAACGAGTGGAAGTTTCCATTCTATTATATATATCTTGAGTTGTATTGCTTGATGAATGAGCAGAAAACGAAACCAGGAACCAGCAAATCCTCTTCTCGAAAGCAAATTTTCATGTACCCCCATCCCCTCTCGCCCCCTGACAACCTCACTTGTTACCAGATGGAGTGAAACATGCACACAACGCGCTGAATTTGCAGACCACGCCCATCTCAGCTCCAACAGCCCCGAACGCTTTGCAGGCCGCATTATCCGCGTCAATCTTCACCATCATGACACGCACCTCGCGAAGGCGGGGGCCGTGTTGGGGCGCAGATTTGACGAAGGATGACAGTCGCTCTACGACCTTATTGAGATATTCAGCTTCCCACGCCTTCAACATGAAGCATCTCTAGGGATCTCGGTAGGATGTCTGGAAGATGTTGATTGGGAGACGAATGAGAGCCCACAGGGCAGTAGAGGGGCAAGAGAACGCAGGCGGTAATATGGAGATGTTTGAGTGCCGTGAACTCAGACAGGGAGCCGAAGGTGGTAAAGCGTGCGCCACCGCTTGACGTATCCGAGTTGAAATCCAGGCAGAGTGTTTCAAGGCTCTGTCGCGCTGAAAGGAGGGAGTCGCGGAAGAGCTTAGGGAGGGGTTTAATCATGGGGTCGGGGTCGGGGTCGGGGTCTCCCTCGATCATATCCGCCTCTGAATGGAGGTATATGAATGATTGAAGGTTCTTGCAACTTTGGACTATCTGCCTTGCCCCATCCTCTAATAGGCAGTACATCAGAAGGATGTGAGTTATCGGTGACTGGCTCTTGTTCTTCCATTCTGTCACAGATTTGAGAAAACCGGCTGCAGAGAAATGTCGAATTGCTGGTAGCTGGAAGAAAGGGAATGCAAAGTCGACAGACATTTGGCTCTCATCGGGCCAGTACATATGCATAGAGGTGAGGCGTGGGAGAATAATAGGAACTGTGTCTTCCTCACGATGGTCATCACAACTTAGTGAAGAATTATTCCCTCGGTATGTCGTTCCAGCAGATCGATGAGCTACTCGACTCAAATAATGATACCCAGGTAGCTCGAGCTCCAATTTTTCCAGTCTAGGCAGAGAAAGTACCAGCAAACTAATGAGCGCATCTGGGGAACCGGTCTGAAGATCCCTCACCCACTTCTCCTGTTCGTATATATCATCGATGAAGAATGGCTCAACTGCCTTGCGGAGGACGGGCTCAGCGGCGGCCAGAGCTGTCCAGCGCTCATAGCCTAAATCTTCATCAGCAGTGAAGAGCGACCGCTTCGTGGTCGGTAAGCGTAATTCGCGGACCATCTGAGCAAGCCATGGTTTTTGTAAGATAGTCCGAAGCAAGGGGACAACATTTCCTTGAGAACGTGAAATAGCTCTATACAACGTGGGCAATAGCGCGTTATAGAGCCGGCGGCACGTGCATAGCAACTGCAGTCGTTGGCCCAAGGTGTCTAAGTTAACAGCAATTATCGTCAATATCTCCGTTGGGAGAGCTTCAAGCGTGGAACCCATTGCTGTTTGAGACGGGACCAGAGCCGCCCAGATTTGTTCGGAGTAAATCCGTAGACGCGGAGATATTGCGGTTTGAGCCGCCACTTGCCCCCGGAATTAACTCCACGACCAGGGGCTTTTTGCAGAAGCGAATCCGGGATGGCAAAGAAGGTGGCCCGTCTCTCAGCTGCTCTGTCAATATCCCACCCCAGCTGCAAAAATCATTCAGCGAGCCGTGGGAATAACCTGCTGACAGTGGCAACCTTCCTAAGCTTCAAAGTTAGTTCCCTCATGGCCTGGAAATAGAATGCCGGTGGAATTTTTATGAAGAATCGAACCGCCAATGGGCCCTCATGACAAGGAGCTAACTCTGCTATTCACAAGTCTCTGCGCCGTACGGAGTACATACGGAATTTAAACCAAACTTTGGAACAGAGGAACATGCAGGGGCAGCGCGTATCTTGTCAAGTATCGCTTTTAATGCGATAAATGGCGTATTTTGGTGGCGCCCTTGGTGAATTCGAGAAGGCGTCTGAGGAAATCGGGACATTCATTGAATGGAGTGAGCGAAGGAAACCGAGCTGGAGAGGGACCAGGATATGTACCGTACAGAGTACGTAATTTCAGGTTATCTCGCGTCGCCAGCGCGGTATTGCCCTGTTCAAAGGGTTTGAAATATTACACACGCTTGTCAGTGCGCCGGCATCCATCCAGCCACGATCCACGCATGGATCAGGATGGATGGCTTGTAGCGGGCGTGGAAAGCGGGGAAGAGAGCTCACTTGGAAGACAGCCAGAAAGTTCATGGAACGCGCCGGATCGAACCTTGTTCCTAGGGTTGCCCAGGTGAGGGAGGGGATTCGAGCGACCTCTGTCATTTGGAAGGGATAATTGAGTCCAACAGGCCATCCGTCAGCCAAACCGTGTGCTCAGAAGGCCTTGATTGCCCAGGAGCGCAAGACATCACCCCACCAAGCCCGGCGAACGGCGAGAATGAATAGAAATAATACGTCATATCTGAATTCTCGCCCTGCACGGTATGCAGGAATCGCCTTCTCTCTCGGGACTTCGGGATGCGATGTATTTCGATACCAAGAAGTGGGAGTGGGCTCCCATCGCTGCATGACAAGACTGACAGCCCAACCGGATTGGCGCCCGCCCGGCGCCCTGTCCGTCTTGTGTTGTTGGTATGGGAAACATGCAGCCTGTCGGGGATTCGCGACAATAAACAATAACGATCCCTTAGCATTGGTTGGTCGCAGAGAGCGAAGGCTGACAGCTAGCCTTGGATTGCAGGCTCTAAATTCCGATTCTTGTTCTTGTTTTTGAATTTTGTTTCCATTATTTATTGGGTTTTACTCACCCGTTTTAAGCATTTACTGTTGGATGTGGTTAACGTCTACAAAGGAGCTCATCAGCGAATCCATGTAACTCCCGGTTTCTAAACTGTTTACCCTTGCAGGGTATAACCATGGCGTCAAAAAAGACCAAGCAAACAGAGGAAAAAGGGCGTGACGTGATGAACCTCCTCCTCCTCCTCCTCCTCCTCCATACCCCGCCATGCTCAGCAGGCTGATATTGTGATAAAAGGGACCCCAAATAGAATATGGCTCAAACCACATGTGGAGACTAGTTCCAACCCTTCCAAGGGTTTTCCTCTTTCTTCCCCTTCCCCTCGTGCGTGCGCAGTTAAACCTATATCCCAATTTCAGGTGGACGCTGGCACGGGGTTTTGCCAAAGCGCCAGCAGGGAGTTAAAACCCGGATGGCCAGGGATGGGCCCTCCCTCATTGCGGATGACCCGTGTCGTGCGCCAATCACCCGCCCCAGTCACGGCAAGGAGCGCCAGCAAAGAGCCACTCTGAGCGTTGCCTCACCTCCCGGGTTTATGTCAGTCTACGGGCTTGCATGACTCCTGACACGGTTCCAAGGGCTTTTGCCATTGATGGTGATGGCTGAGAATCATGATCAAAGATCCTACGTGCAAGTCATAATAATGTGTGTACTCTCCACCGATCCGTACATCAGATCCAAACATGCCTAGACATCTTCATTGGTTTTGTCTTGTCTGACACTGGTCTCCAGGGTTGTCCAGTGCCTTCACAATCTTTGGATGATGGGCGTTGCACCTCAGTCGTCATTATTATTCCATCAAAGCCCCCTCGCCCAGTAGTCCAACAAACCGGTCGGTGGACAATCTTAAGCAGCGTAGTTCTGATCGGTATAATCGCCCCCCCGTCCATGGAACAGCGTTCAATCATGCTTCATCCAACCAGAGTGCAAACACACCTCCACAATGGCATTCATTCAGTCCCCCATCGATTTTTATTGGGTGCATGTCGGATGAGAGAGAGAAAGAAGTGATTTGGGAAAAGATGGGTCCCCCGCCCGCCCAGAGTGAACCCTGAACTTACTTTCTCGGTGCGAAGCTGGCCCCATCCAGGCCGTCACTGCAAAGATAGCAGAAGCGGGACCCAAACCACGGTTTCAGTTAGCTTCTTCTCTCGCTGGGTTTTCTACCCCGCCTGTTGGAAATTGCTCGCGAGAACAATAATCATGAATAATTACAGTAGTAGTTTTTCACCAACATGTTAAACTAGGAATTATCAAAGGGGAGTCCGACAACAGAGTTTCGCACCAGGAACGAACCAGGAAACACAGGCCAGACCAGACCACGGGAGCAACAAACGTTTTTTGAAGTAAAGATGTCATAGTTATTCATTCAACGTTTTATTACCTAAAATGGCCCTGCTCCTTCGTACGCACCGGAGCTGCAACATACCCCTAATAAACTCATCACCACAAGTAGACTCAGCTTGGCTGGTGGATGGATGGATGGAATGTGATTTATTCCGCAGCAGCCCAGGAAGAAGTGAGTTGGTTAGTGTCAAAATGGAGGGGCGAGGCATTCGGCGGTGAAAAAGGGCATCCTATCATGTCAACGGGCAACTCTCTCTCGTGCGTTACGCTTCAGTCAGTCAGCCTTTCTTTTTGTAATTCTTTTTTTTTTTCAAAGTTTGATTTAGTTTATTTATTGTTTCATCAACGCTTTATCAACGCTTCCGCCAAGAACAAAGCCGCCAATAATCAATCAATGGCTTGCGAATCGGATCTGATCATCACCGAGAAACCCTCTGTCCCCAGAGCCTGCGCGCCCCATATCAAACCCACCACGCTTCTGGATAGCTGCATATGCGCAATTCACCATACATACTCCGTAGTCTGCTTTGAATGAAGCGTGTAGCGTACCTACATTCACGTATTCATTTATTCATTTATGTTCGGGACAGTTGCAGCCCTGGAAAGGGGACCTTCGAGCTGTATGTTAACTTCCAGGGCCTGATGTTTTATGGTGTACGAACAGCAGGACTGTGAAGGGAGATGTAGAGGAAGAAGGAGATTGCAGGGAGAGTAGGGGGTCTGCTTTGAGATGAGAGATGGTGATTGATGGCTGGAAGCAGGCGCTGGTTTTCTAGATATGAATTAATACATCAATCAATAACTATGTTAAGAAGTAATGGGGGATAGATAACTGTGCTTTTCTCCCTTCTCCCTCCTCCTCCTCCTTCTCGCTCTCTCCAGGATCATTCCTGTATAGGCCTGTCTGGCTCTGTCGTGACCAGCCTCAGCCGGCGCTTCCCCTCTGCACAACACACATCAATCAGCACCAGCACCATCATCATCAGCATCATCTGGACACTCCTGTCCAAGGCTCAAGTCGACGCTTTGAACTAGTGGTTCTCACTCTCGTTCTCCTGCGGCGCCGTCGTCTTCTCCCATGCATTCGTGATCGCCGGTGCTGGCTGGGACCCTCGCCATCTTCCGCTTTCTTTGATCCTCACAAATAGTCTTCGTCTCATTGTCTGCTTCTCGCTTCTTCGTCTCTTTTCTTCTCTGTCGTCATTTGCTGCTTCACCGCTTCGACAGGCGCCGGCCCTGCCCCGTCTTCCAGCATTGTTGCTGTTGGTCCGATAATATCTTTCTTCTCTTCTTCACCGTTTCCATTATTATTATTATTCTGTCGACTCTGGAATCTTCCCTGTTTTCCCCCTGGCTGCCCTTGGCCGCTTTCTCTCTCGCTTCTTTCGCCTTCTCGCCTTCTCGCCTTCTTGTTCGCAGAGGATCGTGGCGCAGGTCTCACCCGGGCCAACCCCAGCGTCTTGTTTCCCCGGCCCCGGCCAGCTAATCCTCCAACTAATCCTCCAGCTAACCCTCAGGCCCAATATCTCCTCAATCAACTCATCAACTCCTCGTTGCTCCGTCGCCGTCGGCGCTAGCCAGCACCGCTCTCTTCTCTGCTCTCGAAAACTCCCGCTTCTTCTCTTCTTCCTCGTGGCGACTTGCGTGGTTGTCATACGATTCTTTCCCTTTTTCTGATTTATTGTTGACTTGCTCCCGATTTCTTCGTTTCTCCTTTCTTTTTTTCAATTTTCTTTCTTCATACTCTGTCAAACCGCCAGCTTCTAACCCCCCCCCCCCCCCCCCTCTCTCCCAAGGGCAATTACAACTCGCAACAAAAAATCTTCAACCAAAAGTCCAAGCTGGCCGTTTCACATTTCCAATTCAACTATTTCACCGTCATCCCCGAATAAAGAAAAATAATACATCGCAATCGCTCAATGTTGACGCTTGGCCTGCCGGCATCGATGCCTTTTGCTCCACTACAGAATTCCCTTGAAACCTGGCGAGGACAATCTAAACGCAAAACTTCGTACATATCTATCTCCCTTCTTTTAGAACTAAAACCCCTCCCACAACGCCTTCGTTCACGCTCTGCGAATCACTTCGCCGTGTAACCTCGCTCTCTCTACAACGATATGTCCGATCATACTACGATAGATCCATACAAGGTCCTGGGGATCAGTAAGGATGCAACCATTGGCGAAATCAAAAGCGCCCATAGAAAACTGGTGTTGAGGTGTCACCCAGACAAAATCAAAGATGAAGAACAGCGGAAAGAGGCCGTGCCCGAGTTCCAGAGAGTGCAGTCGGCTTATGAGCTACTGTCGGATGAGAAAAAACGAGCTGATTATGACCTTAAAGTTGAGCTGAAGAAGAAACCAAGATACCATAGTGAGGACGCAGGCTCGTCTTCATACTATCGACCTTCAACATTCACAAAGTCTTACGAATCGCGGAATGGAGTTATCTATGAGGAGCGTGTCCCTAGAAGCAGTCGCTTCTTTGATGAAGATATTCCTCTTCATGAGGAGCCTCGACCCACTTCCAGGAAGAATAACGGGTACGAGAAGAAGCATAGTACAGAGGGAAAGGAAAAGAAGAAGTCCAGACATGTCGACCCTCCAGTGTCGGTCCGTTCAAGTAAGGAGCGTGTACGCGAAGCCCGTGAGTCTGTGAAATCGAGTCGCTCGGACCGCGAAAAACATAGAGACAAAGAGCGGAGAAAGGACCGTGAGCGATCAGATAAATACCCGAAGGCCTTCGTGGTGAGCGAGCCCGACGGTGAAAGTGATTTAGATTCGGATCATCACTATTACACCCCAAGAACACCGGAACCTGAATATGAAGACCCTCGAACACGAGTCAAGCCAAGTTCGAGTGAATCTAAACCAAAGCAGACTAAGGTCGAGGAATACTCCGATGAATGGTCTTCGTCGAAACTAGATGATGCCAAAAAGTATATTCAACGATCGAAAAGCGGCGGATATTCATACGACACTGAACGTCGCCCGTCCTCCTCTTGGCCTTCGCCTTCTTCTTACTATAGTCCGTACGTTGATACACCCCGACGTTCGTCCGGGAGGACTCGAACCAGGCCCAGTTCTTCAGGAAAGGATCGCAGGGGGTCGGCCGACGTCTTGGATCCATCACCTAAACCCCAATTCTCCCCTCGGCCTCCTACTCTACAAACTGCTACTTCTGCACCTTCGGGTTTAAGGTTTCCCATCTCAATCTCTACTCGATCCTCTTCAAAACCCCATCCTCCTCGCCGGTCAGAGACCATGCCATTTCCAGGGTTATCCCGCCGATCCGAAACTCTGCCGACCAGAACCTCAAAGATGAGGGAACCCCAAGACTCGGGGTATTCAAGTCCTGGCACTCCTGAAATGCACTTAGGATCGAGCCCCCCATTTCCCGGTAGATACACCGTCGTTGATGAAAGCGAGGACTATGTATCTCACCGAGCCGTCCGTATCGACCCAAGCGCTGGTTTCTACACTCGAAACAAGAGCGTTTCCCCTACCCGCGTTCCACAGATGCCGAGATCCAGAACCTTCAACTACCCGATCGACCCTGTGTCCATGCCCATTCGTCACGACTCGTCTAGGTCCATACCTACATTGCGCACCACTCCGCCCACGCCAAGCGGACTGGGCCGGGAGGGGCTGTTCGGCGAAGTCTTCCCTGGCGAATACGACCATCCCAAGATAGTCATCCCCGAGGGCAACATTCGATATTCCCCTAGAATCCGTGAAGAGGATATCAGCTACAGTTATAGTCCGAGGAAGGGACCTGTGGACCCTAATGAGAATCGAGAAACATATCCGCGACCCTATGGCTCGCGAAAGGAGTCAGTTACGTGCTGATGAAGCAAAAGGGGCTATTAACAACACACCTTTTTTTTTTCTCAATTTTTTCAAAAATCATTTATTATTATTATTATTATTATTATTATTATTATTATTATTATTATTATTATTATTATTATTATTATTATTATTCATGCTTGATATTTTTTTTTTTCTCATTTTCATTTTGACTTACGTTTTACGTTTTTCCTTTCATTTATCTTTTCTTATGACGACTCGAATGAATCAATGTTCCAACGATTTTTCTCACATCTCATTCCATCCCATCCCATTCCACCTGATCCCTTTCAATTTATTTCAATGCTTTTCATTTTTTGGCCATTTTGTTTATATTTATATAAATATATATATATCTATATTTTCTTTTCCACCCTTTTTCATGGCTTTTCGAACCTCCCTCCGATTTTTTTTTCCGTCGTTTTCTTCTTACTTTCATTCGTATTTGGCGATTCTCCTAACTGCATATTTCCTCAACACATTTGAGGGTAGGCCGTTTTCACGCATGACTCATGGGTTGTCAAATCTGACAATTGACAACGGGGGGTGTTTGCAATTTGAATCAACCGCCAATATCAAACAAGAGTGAGTACCCTGTTAATGTCTATATTGCATTCGTCAAGACTAATTTACGTATTGTTTTTCTATGCCTATGATTTATTTATTTATTTATTTATTTATTTTTAACTTTCATCATTGTTTCCGGTTTACGCTTAAAGCATCAAGGCCCCTATTTTATATTTTACTCTGAGGGAGGCTGACTGGACGAAAGTGATTTTCTTGTGTTTTGTACTGGGAAAGGGACGGGAAGAACCAGGGAACCTGTCCATCATATAGGTTGGTGACTTTTTATATTGGCTTCTATTTGTCGGATTTTGAGTCGGTTTTTTTTTTTTTTTTTTTTTTTTTTTTCTTTTTTTTATATGTTTTTCTTCTCTCTCCATCTGTTGGTTTCAAGGTTAGTTTGGCATGAAAGAGGATGATGGCCTGAGCTATAGGCTCTCCGCTCTCTTACGGTTTCAATCCGTGTCTGTGCGTGTGTGCAAATTTTTTTTTTTTTTTTTTTTTTTTTTTTTTTCCTTTTTTCCCTAATTTATTTTCAAAGGCATTACATATATGCGCATGCGTGGTGTTTTACCTTCCTCTATCGGTCTTTTTGGTTCTGTCTTTTTCTTTTTCACTTCCTTCCCCTCATTATTTTACGATGTTTTGGTCTACGATATGATAGTTCAATGATCTATTATTACTGAATACATGCATATTTACATACAATATATATCTCTCTCTAGAGTATTGGCGGATGATTGTTATGTATGAATTAAGGATACCACTTAAGACTGACGTCTGATCTCCCCTCAGTACCCTCCAGTATTCAAATTTGCAATCCGTTCTTCGTTGTTGGATAAAGGGAAAAGAAAAAGCAAGAAAAAAAAAAAAAAAAAAAAAAAAAAAAAAAAAAAAAAAAAAAAAAAGAGGGTATATACAAGTGTAAAATACAAGAGTAAGGAAATTTCGTGGTTGACGAGACAGGAAGTACGAATCACTATGTCACTGGTACCGGTTAAGAAGCCGCGTGTGTACATATATATATATATATATGTGTGTGTGTGTGTGTGTGTGTGTTTGCGTGTGTGTGTGTTTGCGTGTACGGAGGACACCCATCGTTCTCGCCGGCTTCCTTTCAACATTTGTCTATACGATCCCGGCGCTTGACGTTACCGTCCACCACCAGAAGTCCTATCCATGCTGCTGAAAGAGGCGTCAATATCACGAGCGGGATTTTGAAAAACGGGACCCCAGCCGACTCAAGTGTGTGCCACCGATGATTGTTTTTAATTTATAAAAAGGCGGTTGAAAGACGGAGTTTTAAAAAAAGTTTTTGTTCCCAATATGCGCCAGGTATTTTTTATCCTGTGACGAATTTTTTCTTTCGTTCGTTCTTTCTCTCTTTCTTTCGCTCTTTTGTTTCTTGTTTCCTGTTTCGACGGATACGTGTCGTGGGATTTCTTTCGGTCATTCCTGGCTGTGCAAAGGAGAAGGGAGAAGAAAAGTGGATGGATGGTTGGTTGGTAAATCCAAGGTCTCACCGGATGACTTGGGTAAATTCCTGCTATCTCGAGCGAAGCGTTTTTTCGGATTTGATGGGGTGGGTATAAACTGAATGACCGGGGAAACAAGATGATGGATGGATGGATGGATGGACGGGCGGACGAAGGAATGAACGGGAGATGCAAGCGATCAAGTGATAGCCAGCAATCTAACGTTGCAGCAAGTCGGACAGCTATCCAGTATACCAGTATATCCGAATAGTAGCGTGTTAAAAACAAAAAAAAAAAAAACCCGGGGATACGAACAGGTCCCAGCGCGCTTATCTATGTGGTTTTCTTGAAGTAACATAATTAATGTACAACATCAGAGCCCGCGCGCATCTACTTTATGAAGTAGGCATTTCGTGCACTGAAGATCCTCGGTATAACTTTGGGGCCCAGAAACCAGCGTGGGAAACACCAGCGTGGGGAGTACCAGCGTGGGGAGTACCAGCATGGGGAGTACCAGCGTCTAGCTCTTGAACAGCATTGAGGGGTGGCATGTAGGCGTTGCGCCGGCGGCTACGGCGGATGAAAAACACTAGCGCTGCGAGTAGCAATGCAAGGCCGGCGGCACCAACACCTATGCCAGCCTTGGCACCGGCGGAGAGCCCCGTGCCAGTGTTACCACCAGAAGGGCGAAAAGAATCGGGTGAAGAGGTCGGCAAAGGTTGATTATTATTCACCGCTTGGGATGGGGTCGCGCTCCGGGACCGGGTATCAGTCGGGCTCGATATTTGTCCTGTGGTGCCGGTGGTGCCGGTGGTGCCGGTGGTAGAAGGGCTGGAGGTAGTGAGGGCGTCTGTGAAGAACGAGAGATCGGCTGATTTAAACTGGACGACGAGCGGCTGGCCCCACATAGACACCGGGCCTGTGACAACGGAGTTAACGAGGCTTGCCTGGCCAGAACGAGCGAGGACGGTGGTTGTGCCGCCTTCAGGAAATTCGCTGATGCATCCCGCAAAAATTGTGGTTGAGGAGTAGAAGTTGATTGTCGTGAGAGTTGTGTAGTAGGTATAATCGCTGCGAAGGTCGTGTATATTAGCGACGTCATTGACACTGAAGAAAGGACTGGTTCTAGGATCTAGGCCAGACATACGATGGACAGCATACTGCAGTTGTTACTTCGTTAACTGTTGTAGCAGCTGGAGAGGTGTAGCCTATGGGACAGAATCCTGGGCTATACACTTGTTGATTCTGCCCACGTCCTGATCCTTCGAAAGAAGGGGGGAAACAATCGAAATCATGGGAGGCGAAGATATTCTGTATTAGGAGGCCGCCAATGACACTGTTGTAATACGATCCTTCATAAGTCCAGCTCGACGAGCAAGAGGATGGTGGGGTAAAAACTGTTGTGAGAGGGATCGCTGTTGGATCCATTTGGCTTGAGTGATATTGGGGATCCCCAATAGTGTCGAGGCGGAGAGCTGGTAGTAACGGCGAATTGTCTGTATGGAGGAAATTCGAGCCAAGAGCATCAAGGGGTTTGGATTGACGTAAGAGGGTGAGAAAGATATCAGAATATTCCCACCATTTCGAGGTGAACACAATCGTAAGGAGAGATTTTCGATGCGAACTTCGCGTCGGGGGATATCTCAAACGTATTAATAGGATTCTCGAAAATTAGGGCAGCCACGGACGCAAACTGAGGGTGTTTGGCATGAAATACCATGTCAAGCCCCGAAAACATTGACCAATGAATAGCCCTCTCATATTCCATGGAGAATTTTGGGCAGCTTGATAGAAGAAAAGTGTTTCGTTCCCGCCGCAACCCTCTAATTCATGGATGCAAATCCTGGTTGGTATGTTGTGCCAGTCACATCACATCGCCACTTTTAGTGCTGACGGACAGTCTGTGGCTTGAAATCCAGGGGCTCGCCCTGGGGTAGGCAGGTTAGCATTTTGGTGCATTTTCAGCTTCAAGATTGCACGCAGTACGCAGTACGGAGTAGACAAATCTATAAATACTTAGCAAAACTGGTTGTTTGGGCGTACGCCGTATGCATGTTGGTGTTTGTGAAGGCGGTTGGCAGCTAACAACATAACTTTAACAAGGGCGGATAACGACTTCTCGTTGGCAAGCCATAACCGCCAGGGATACCGCCAGGGATACCGCCAGGGATACCGCCCCTAAGGTCTTAGCTTGTTCCCTGGCTTTAGCGCCACGGAGGGGTCCTGATTTATTGGCCAAACATGAAACCGAAAGCTGAAAGATTTGGACTCTCTTTCTGCCCAAGCAGCACAGCTTTTATATCTCGACTCCGATGAGAAAATGCTGCTGTCCACTTCCTAGCCTCCCTGTCGCCGGATACGTGCAGCCAGCATGCTCTCTATCTTTCGCGGGCGGCGTTATGTGATTGTTGCGAGCCTCGCTACTTTCATATTCATCACGGTCTGCGTGTATTCCCAACGAGGAATTTTCTTTCAGGACTCGAGGAATGCTCTAAACGATGTCCCTCACCAAGCGCCTCCTATCCAAAAGCATGGCTATCCCCTTCCTGTGGCCTTGTCTCCTCCCGGAGATTACCCCTCAACGTTGAGCGCGGCGCCTCAGAGTCGTTTCTGCGCCGAACGATTTGACCTTCAGTACTTGGAGAATGCCGCCAAGAATCAGACTAATTACTGTGATGTCAACTCCAAGTCAAGCATAACCTGTTTTCATACTCAAATCGACCCAGGAGGTCGAGTAGATTCATTCTGTGTTTCAGGGCCCGCGACCTTCGACCACAGCCAAAAGAAATTCATCCTGGACTGTTCCCTTCGATCATTGAGCGCCGAGGAATCAAGCAAGGGCGTGCCAAAATTTGAAGGGTTTCCGGCCTATTGGTATGGGACGGGACCGCGACAGATATTCAGCGATTTTGTACGTCTCGATAGGAGTGAAAACCCTTCCCATAAGCTTCCACGTGGACGACGGAATTTCTCGGTCCTCATTAAACGTGAAGACAGCCACTATAACGTTTTCCATTCTCTCATGGAGATTGTTGGGCTCTCCTTGACGTTGGATACCATGAGGATGGCTCAAAATAGAGACACCACCCTCCCCTTCATTACGCCAGAGGAGTTCGCCAATACCCAAGTTATTATCTTGGATGACCTCCTGGACGGGCCTTACTTTGATCTATGGAAACTCTTTGCGAAGCAGCCAACGATCAGACTGAAAGATATATCGGCATCCGCAGATATCAATTTGGATAACATTATAGTCCCCTTACCTGGGGGTGGTAGCCCCTTTTGGCAGAGTCATTGGGAGCCACTCGATTGTGAACAATCGGAACTTCTGCAAACGTTCTCCAAAAGAGTTCTCAACTTTTATAACATCCGGGATGACGCTCGCCCTGTGGGGAAAAGCCCGCTTGTGCTTACGTTCATCGACCGCAAGGAGAAGAGACGCTTGATTAATCAGGACCAATACATTGAGCGTCTGAAGGCCAAATTCCCAGTGGTTGAGGTTAACGTGGTGGATTTGGCTTCGTTGCCCTTTCGCGAGCAAATAAAACTAGTTCGCCACACCGACATCCTCGCTGGCGTGCACGGGGCCGGGTTAACGCATGGAATGTTCCTACCTCCGCATTCAACAATCGCCGAAATACTGCCCCCCAAACTAGAAAATAAGGGTTTCCGAAACCTTGCGAAGAAAATGGGTCACAAATATTTTAGCAGCCACGCGGCGGAGCATCAGACCAGTGACTCGAAAAATGATTGGCAGTTTGATGACGTCTTCATTGAGGAGGACCGTTTTACGAATCTATTGGAAATCGCCGTGAAGAGCATGTACAACAGAGGCTTGCATGATGAGGATGTCAATTAACCATCTGTGGATGGGGTTCCTTCCTGGGACGAAACGCGCTTCTTCTGGTCCCGAGGGGAATGCCATTGCTTGCGGGAACATGATCGTAGCAGGTTCGTCTACCTTTTCGAGGCAGTTGAGTGAGGAATGGAAAGTGAGGACTACCTAATTAGGGATCGAGCTCACATTACCGCAGAGCAAACCGCATATGAATGGATGGAGACATTCAGTCACTTCTTCGACATCCGTGGATGGCCACAAGGATGGGGTGTACAGAACGTACTCTAGAGGAGGCCCGTGGTCTATTACATTGACGACAACAGTGGGCGCGTTTATCTCTTCTCAGCGTGTTGAATAAAGAAGCATTTGCGACTTGGAGTTGGAGCAGAAGCTTTTGGACGGATGGCTGGCATCATCCCAGACAAATTTAAAATTTAATGGTTGCACTATCATGTTTTACTATGTATGTCCAAGATTTGATGGCAGCATTGCGCAGAATATATATATTTGGATGCACACGAACCTACTGTATATAACGCAAGCTCTTTGTTAGCTGTTCATAATCCCACGCAGTCCCAAGCACATCGAAATATGACTTTATTTATATAAACACACAAAGTTGCCAAACTCATCCTGTTGTATGTCCCGTTAACTAGCCAGCCTTGCTCCTATCCAGCATCTTATTCTTCTGAACCTCAGATCTACTTGCAGCCACCCACCCACTATCCTTTCACGTTATCCTTTTTTTCCTTATAAGGATAGTGGGCCCCGCTAGTTGGGGTACTTTTCATTGACAGCGGTCCCATGACATGGAGATGCAAGGCAAACGTACCCTAGCAGTACTCAAACATAATGTGCATCGAAAAAGATATATTCTTCCAGGAAGCAGAAAAGCCAACCTCGTTCAAAGCGCCACTGGACTCAACATCTTTCTTTCCCAAGGCGAGTATGTAAGTAAGGTGTTTGTCATCCATCACCAGCTGAAAGGGTTGCAACCCGACCTCACCAGCCACAGGACGCGGAGAATTAAGCGGATACCAAGATTGGAGCCATACACTATTTCTACACGCGACGCTGACTGTTTCGGTTTGGAAGGGGTCGCGCAGGGGTTTGACAACCCGCGAAAAATAGCCCGCTTTCGCTTTCGTCAGTCAACTACACCAACTCCTCCTTTTCGCAGTTCAAAAACGTTAAGTATTCAAAATCTACCACATGATACATCGCAATCAATTCGCTCTTGTTAGGCCACTGGGACAAAAGGGCCCTCTTACCACCGCGCCATCCTTGTTGTAGAGAGGACGAACCACCCAATCCAATCCCTCCAACAGCTCTCTCTTTCTGGCCTGCGCCAAACTCAAATTAGTCCTCCCTAGCTCTACCACCTCATTTTCTCGTCATGACACTTGAGAGGCTAGATCCTGTCCTCTGTCAAAGCTCTCTGCACGCAGTCCTGTTAAAGACCCACGCAAGGCACGGCACGCTAAACTCGATCACCGGAAAATATTTTGATATCCTCCGTACATCCCCCTTACTGCGCAGTTGATGGGGGCGGAAAACGCCGTCGCTTTCATGGGTATGGACAACCTGCCCCTTTTGTGATCACTAGCTCAACCGAGGATTTGTCTGGTCGACAGCCAACGTAAAACGCAACGCGATCGCGCGTCTGGAGCCTTGAGGGAAGGGGTGTAGGCCGTGTGGAATGGGTTGCAGAAATGCGAAGGGTCATATTAGGATGTGAACTGTCATACCCCTTTTTACTCTCGAGTCACTCAATCGAGCATAGCCTCGCAGGGTTGTAGTGTGATATCCCTGACACTTTAGCCATGCTCTGATCCCGAAGCGAGTTGATGAGAAAGATCATATATTTACTCCGTACACAGTTTGTCTTCTAAAGGTAACTGATAGAGTAATTTTTCGGCTCTCTCTGTAATGAAACATCCAGGCAGACAGCATATAGAGGAAAGCAAAACCTGGAGACTAGGATTTTGTGAAACAATACTTCCTTCGATTTTACATCCACTCGATAATGGAGTCGTCCCATGTGCCTTGGATTAAACGTGGGAGGCGCCTTACAAAGAAGGTTGTAGCATCTGATGCATCTCTTTTGGAATTTCGGGAGGATAAATTAATGAGAAAGTTGAAAGCAATACGCGGGAGGAACTAAGGGAAGAGATCAGAGTATAGAAAAAGTATCCAGCATATGGGTTGAAAATGTTATACAAAGTTGAAGAAGCAAAATAGTAGGTTGTGACGGGAAACAGGTGAAAACATTGAGACCACACATAGTATGGGCTAATAATTTGCGATATAGACTGGAGAAACAAAAAAAAATCGTTTAAATTAGAAATGAAAGAAAAAGCACCAGATACCTGTGTATAGAAGCAAAATCGCATAATAAAAATGGAATAGTTAGGAGTTTGGCGACCCATCATTTTATAAAGTTCCAAAACGGGAGATTCGTAAATGACGTCATAACGGTGAAGTTATCAACGATAGGAACAAAAAAATATATATTTAGAAATGTATATGCACAAGATGGTAGTTGAGTAAAAAAAATCAAAAACTTATAAAATACACATTTAAAGCGAAAGTAGAATAATGGATGATAGAAACAAAGGCCCTGAGGCGTCTCAAGTCCTTGGGCGGGTGATCAAATCAGTATAATATTATCTGCAGCAAGCGCAAAAGTCAAGTTAATGTAGTACGCGAAGGGGGAATTTAACAAATGTTATTCTTACCAATTTGCTGCTGTTACAATCTTGGTGCTCCAGTAAAGCTCTCAGGAACCTTGCAGCTTTTCAGACTCTTTAGCCTCAATCAAACGTCGACTGTCCTTCCGTTGTCGTGTAGACCGTCTGCTTGGTTGCTGGGCTGACTGCGCCTTGAGTGTGCCAGCTGGTTTTTGTGTGTTGGCCCTAGCCCGGGCTCCATGAGACGAGCTTGTAATTTTTGGCGAAAACTCTGTCATTCTCATGTCCTTGGTCGGGCCATTTAGAGTGGTGCCAATTTCGTCAAGGGTAGAGATCTTGGATGTTCCATCATCTGAAAGAGAATCCAGTGAAGAATACTCCATTTCCGTGATTGAGGAATCGCTTTCTGGAGGTGTGCTTTCCAGCGCGTAATTTGGCATGTTGCGCAACTCCAGATATATATTTGTTGCAAAAGCAGTCCCGGGAGACTGTGGCGGGGTCGTGCAGAAACCATATTCCTCTAAGATTGAGCTTACATCACTCAGACTAGAGTCCGTGAAGTCCTCAAAATCTTCAGAAGTATTCAAAGAGGGAGGCGCTCCAGGGTTGACAGGACTGAAGCTGTAAGGATAATACACTATGGGTGTAGGGAAAACGGCCCGTAAGGGTGCAACGGGGTAGCTGCAGTGCCAGCTAAGCTGAATTTCCGCTGTTCTCATTTCGAGAGGGCTGCGGCCAGAAAGCTTCAAAAGGGCCAAAACAGCATGGCCCTCTTCCTCTGTCAAGTGATCTCCGCCAGGATCGATTAAAGTGTCGGTGGATGACGGACGCGGGATTGGCTCAAATGCGGGTCCCGACATGATGGGCTAGAAAAGATACTGTATTTGTTATACTCGTGAATATCTACATCCCGGGAATAGCGGCCGGAAAAAGACAGAAGGGGCGATGGGGTGTAGCAGCTGTTGTAAACAAATACCAAGAAGAACAGTGAAGTCGAAAATTCGAAGGGTCACTTACTAGTA